TCAGCTGAAAGCCACAAAAATCCGTCCTGGCCAGAATGGGTCTAATGAAGTGCTCATCCCTCCCAGGAACATGGTTCCCTCTTGGCTTGCCAAGCCTTGGCACAGGCTGGCGCTCCAGTGGCACCAGATCACTTCTGCCATCAGGATAATGTAACACAGCAAAGTGTCAACTGGCTCCTGATGCCCTCCCCACACGCAGGCAGGAGAAGGTAGGGCCAGACTGTAAAGAACAAGAGTCGGCTTGGTACTGTCTGGCAGCCCAGATGGCTCTCAAAACCAAGAGTATTAGGCCCAGCTGACCAAAGTCCTGGAACAGACAGGCTTCCCATGAGGGAGGGATGGTTGGCACAGGGCTGGGGGGGCACTTGCAGACCAATTAGTTACCCTGAGCCCTTCCTCACTGGCACCAGGTGAACTGCAGCACTTCATCAGCCAGATTCCATGTGGCAGTCCTATTAGCAGCAATAGTCCTTATTCCAAGAGACCAGGGATTATTCATCTCTTGAAAGTCAGAACAGTAATGTGTAATTAAGAACAAAAGCCCTCCCTAGCCCTTGTAAGGCCTAGCTCCACCCAAATACCACGACTCCCAGAGGCCACATTATGCAGTGGGTCAGGCACAGCCTGTGTAGCCAACTCAACACTCATGCGTTTGTTCCCTCGGAAACTTCAGGCTGCTCAGGTTTAAGAAGCAGAGCACAGCCTTCTCCACTGCTCCCTGTCCCGGCCCCAAGTTAAGGCAGACAACTTACCAGAAGGCTCTCGCTCTTCTGCAGTACAGAAAAACCAAAAGCGGGACATGTGCAGAAGTGGCAGGAACTGTAGCAGGTGTAGAGTTTGCCCGAGTTCCCAAGGACCTGAAACAAAGGTAGCCGGAGGGGGTGGGAGTCAGAGGCAGCATTTGTTTTTAATTTCTCTAACTCAGCCTGTATCTGGCCTGATGTCCCCTCACAATGACTCACAACATGCAACTGGCAAGCAGGTGCCACCATACAAAAGCATCCCCAAACATTGCAGTGACCCATCTAAGCTTGAAGCTCCTCAGCTTTCTCACGGTCTCTACATGCTTCTCTCCCTAAAGGGGAGGAAGCACTCCCGTACCTACACCCGTGCCTGCAGTGGACCTCAGCTCCAGTCTGCTGCTAGGAGATCAGGAAAAGGGCAGTGGCACCGAGCACAGAGCCCCCTCCCCTGGTCTCCCAAAGCTGGCATCACAGTGAGCTGCCAGTCCCTTCAGGGAGCTTCCTCCCCCAGTGCTGGCAGACAGGATAGTCGAAGATGACCAAGACTCTCTTGTCACAGAAAGCTCACTTGTGAATCCAGGGCCACCACAGACCTGGGGATGGAAGAAGAGCCACAGTGAGCACTCACAGTGAGGCTTTTTCTAACTAGCTCCAGCGGCTGAGTAGGTCCAGCGGCTGAAGGCCATTGCTGTTCTGCTCCCAAAACCAGCTGCAGCTATTGGAATCCAGTTTTTTTCTGAATAAACAAAGTTGAAGTCTCCAGAGAAGAAGCCTCCCTGCTCCATCTCTGGTTTGGGAACAGCACTGCCTCCTTTTCCCACATGCTGTTCCTCTGCAAGGCTGGTATTGGGGTATATTGCTCTGCACCATGGGCACGAGACGCTGGCAGCCAGGTGAGAGATGCATTTGTTTCCAGCATGGAGAAGCTAACAGTCGATCTGCGAGCTGCTGGAGCTGACTGCATGGTATAGGAAAGCCAGCCTATGGATTATTTCTCTTTTGGTTTCTTCAAGACTGGAAAATAGCTTTTAGAAAGGTACTTTAAGAGCCAACTGCTCTGCTCTGTCCCATTGCAAGAGAAGGGCCTGCAGGAGAGAACACGCTCGCAGACTTTAAACAGAAACCTGCACTCAATAGCATGGACTTTACTAATGCTCTGAGGCCTAAACTGAGTGCACCCCATGACCAAAACACAATTACTACAGAGCATTTGCCACGATATGTCTCCTATCTGCCACAGTGAGAGCAAGTGCTTTGTGTCAGCTCTGTGGCCTCGACAACTGGCACTAACTCTACCTGGATATCCAGGGAATGGTGGGGATTTACATGGGTGTAATCACCAGCAGTGCCCACCTTGGCACACAAGCCTCTGGAATCTGATGGCACACCACACTCCTCTCCCATACCAGGCTTTAGATTCTGGTTGGGTTTGTGGCACACATACACCTAAATCCAAAGACAAACACAAAAAGTGAAAAGGCAGTGGTGCTCTGCAGAGTGCTGCTCCCTTCCAGGACGCCCCCAGCACTCCTAAGTCCCCCCAGAGGAACATCATCCCACCGGGTCCAGAGCTGCACTTGCAAGGGGAGCCTTCCCCTGTCCCTTGGAGCTCTTTCTGCACCTGTTGCCCAACAGGTAACATCCACAAGTTTAAGCTCTCCCACAGAAGCATCTATGCCTCATAATTCCCCTTACTCCTGGCAGATTCAGGACACAAGACTCTCATTCCCATTTCAGGGTAAACCGTTCTTTTTTCAGTCTGGCCTTTACCCTGGGCCCTCTTTATACTCCAGGCTGAGTTTGTTTCACTTGTGATAAGTTTGTTTTTCTCTAGCCCCTTTGATTGTTTTTTCCAAGATGAAGTATTCTGATGGTGCCTTTCCTTCAGAATTGTTTTCCTTTGAGGAGGGGGGGAAGACACAGACACTGCCAGATTTGGGCTGAGATTAGCATCCCCCTGTCCTGACCTAGATGGCAAGAATGCAGCTGCTGCCTAATAAGGCAGAATCTAAAATCCAAAGACCAATAGAAAAAAGTGCCTCTGTTTCTGGCCAGCTGCAGCGAAGCCAGGGACTGGGGTGCTCTCTTGGCCCTGAGATGCTGTGAGATTTCCTTCCGCTGCCCTCATCTCCAGGTGCTTGCTGGCTGTACAGCAAGGAAAAATCACCTTGGTGGTGGTGCCCCTGCCAGCGTGTGGGAACGCAGGAGGGCCAGCTGTGGCACCATGGCAGCTACTGCTGCCACCAGTGTACAGCCAGGTAGCACCACAGTCTGTGCCAGGACCTGATGCTCAAATCTTTCACAGTGGGGCAGGCTGCCATACAGTTCTAGGAAATTAATTTTAAAAAGACATTAAAAAGAAGAATCCAATAAAAGTGCAGGATGTGAGCAATGCAAGTGACAGTTGGCAGAAGGACTAAAGCACTGCCTCTCCCCCTCCTAGCTGGCTTCACTCCCACAGCTCACAGCGTTTCTGCAACTCAGGCATAGCTAATAGGTGCCCCAACTGCCACCTGCTCACCACCTTATACTTCTGCTGAATCCAGCACAGCTCCACCATCGGCCAGCATCCACCATCTCTGCAGCAGGTGAGTCTTATTTATCCCTGACCTGGAGGGTTGGCTTTAGTCTGCAGCATAGGCAGGTATTATACAAGCTCTTCTGGGATGATTAACAACTCTGAGGTAACATCAGCCCTTGAATACCCCATCAGTGCTACTCCTCTATTAAGTAGCAAGGGCATTAATGCCTGGGCATTACAAGACAAATCATAGCTTTCACTTGACTGAGGGTTCTTTCTTCTCCTGCCTTGGTTCCTGAGGGCAAGAGCTGCCTACGCTACAGGCTGCAGTCCTAGGGCCTGTCTGAGCAAAGCCATTTTCCCCTGAAGCAGTACCTCAGATGTGCTGGGTAATATGGAATGCAAACAGCATTTTAGCCTGCGAAGTATCAACATCTCAGATTTGGCTATGATGACCCAAAGGCGTTTCACAATAGGACCAGCCTCATGGTCTCAATGAGAAAGGTTCTCCAGATCCAGCTGCGGGTGAAAGCACCGCTTTGCATTCCAGCTCAACCACATCTGGGTGCAAACTGACTTTCTGGGTAATAAGTGAAAGGGATGACTGTGCATGTGTCCAGGCAGCCATAGATGCCCCCCAAATCCCCACTGCACTGGGCATGCTTCCCTGCTGAGGGAGAAGTGCACACAGCTGGGATAGGTGTCTACACCACACAAACCCACATGAATGAAGAGGCAGTGACACTACTCAGCTACTCTTAAGTGCAGTATCCTGCTCAGTGTTTTGGTTTCTATGGCCCCAGATTGTGTTCCCATCACTGTTCCAGCCAGTGGTCTCAGGGGAGGCTCTGCTCTTTGTTTCTGCATCTCAGACAGCTGTGCTGAGGAAGAATTTCGCAATGGGACCAGCCTCACACCCCCAGAGAAAATACCTCTTCAGATTCCTCTGTTAATGAACTCTTCAGCATGGCCTTAATCAGCAATCAAGCTCCACTAGAGATGAATACTGCTCAGGAGCGTGCATACTGCAGAAAAGCTGTGAGCATGTGAGCACACATTTAGGCTTCCTAGGAAGACCAGAGACTCTAAGCAGTCCCCCTCATCCTTCACACAAAAGGGTGCTAAGTGAAGACTGTGCATCCCAGCCTCCAAAGCTCTGCTTTAGCCCGCATGGCCTGACAAAGCTCTGCAAGGAGAACATGACCATTCTCTGCCCAGTGGCATATTCAGCTGAGCAACAGTAAAAAAGGAAAAGCCTTTAAGCATTCTATTAGTGAGGCAGCTGCTGTCTGAGGGTCCTGGAAGCAGTGCTTCTTAGGCTTTACCAAATACCCACTGGCAAGCCTTCAACTCAAATCAAAGGCTGTGTTCTTGAGCCCTGTATGTTTATGAATCATGCCTCTCTGGAGGGGCTGATGCCCTCTCTAAGGCCCCAGAAGCGATAAAGACTCCATGTGCAATCAAGCAATGAAAGCGCTGAACACGTGAGAAACTTCTGTGCCATTACCCAGGCCTGGCTTCACAGCTCTTCTCTTACCTCAGATGACCCCAAAGCATCTCAGCACCTCCAGTGAAGGAGAGAAGGCCCTTTGCAGAGAGGATATTTGGAAATGTTCCTCCTGGCTGCTGCAACAGTGAGCAAAGAGGTTTTCCCCTTCTCTGGTGTGTGAAAAAACACAGCACCAGGTTTAGCAATGGAGGGGGCTGTACTATCTGGGGGGGTTAGTAGTGATAAGTAGAAGGAATTGGGTGCTTCTTCACCAAAATCTTATGGACACAGGGTCCTACTGCTTATACAGTCTTAGCTAGGGCACAGCACACAGTGTCTCTGACTCCATGACCCCATGGGCTGGATGTAGCTGGTCAGCGGCTCACAGAACAGACAGACTGTCCCCAGCAGAGATGCCACTGGTGCTGTGGTGCAGTAGAGGAAGGAATTGTCCATACCACAGAAAAGTCAGAAAGAAGTGCCAATGGCTCCTCTCTTCACTTAATGAGCCTCAGCTCCATCTCTGGTCCTGTGCTGTAAGAGGAGCTTGATCTATAGGGCTAAGGTGAGCTCTGCTCCCTAAAATGCCATTTTATGAAGATGTTTCTGTGATTCAGACTTGGCTATAGTGAACTAGAATGAAACCCACGGATTTGGCCTGCATTGCTTCCTCCCAGGCAGCAAGGATCCTATCGCCAAGTAGAGGTCAAGAGTGTTCAGGATACTGAGGATTTGGAGTGCAACAGGGAACGAAATGCAGTGATGGTAGATAACACTCCGTTGCGTAGTTTGTCAAGAGGAAGAACTGCCTTTGCTGGATTGCAAAATTAGTAATCCCTGGAAAACTTCCTTCTGATTGTGATACCCACAAACACGTAAGAAATCATCTCTGACTGGCTGGGAGCCGCAAAGAAAATGGTAGTGTACCATGCTGTTCTAATTCTAGTCTGTGGCTACTGCTCTCCAGTATCACTTTAGGAGTTTTTAAAACACTGATATTGTCTCCATGTTTATCCAAGTGCTTTTCCAAGTTCTGCAAGTTAGGAAAATATTGGCTCACATGTTTACTGGAAACCATCAGAAAGTAAGACTGAGGAGGAGAAAAACAGTGTGTACCTGGTATGCAGTCCTTCCACTGGGGGACATGACTCGGGTGACAGAACGCTGATCCACCAAATCCAAAGCTGGGACAGCAGATGGGCCAAATATGAACTTCAGCCTGAAAAAGAATGTGTCTCTAGTTAGGACACACCACAAAAGGAGACCCCCTGGCTTAGCCTTAATCCATGGATTTAGTCTTATGGAGGCCATAAGGCCCATAGCCAAAGGTTCCCATTGCCTCTCAAAATGCCACCAGTTACAGCTCCATTAATTACGCTACCAAGCAATGAAGTGCATTTGTCATTCTCAGCTTTGCTGTCTTTCACCACGTGACCACCAATCCCTGCCCTGTCCCTCTGAGACAATCCCAGCTGACAATCACTCCCCGGGAAGACAGACCTCAGTCCGTAAGGACAGCCTCTGCTCTGCCAGCTATCTGGAACATCTACATGGTTTCTGATATTCTTAAGAGAACTTCCAAATTTCCAAGCTGCTCCCAAACAGCCCCACATCTCTTTGCAAAATCCCACCCAGATTTAATTACAAGGCATTTTAAAGATTTTTCTTACACAGGATATTACAGCTTTAGTTTTTCTTCTTCAGCACTATGACCCAAACACTATTCTGGCTGCCTGCTGCACAAACAGGACATGAAGTGGTTCCTGTCCTGAACTAAAATGAGACAAAGTGCATCAGAGATACAGCAGTGAGGTTTTTTCGGTCACTCTCTATGTGACACAGTGTTAGCCACTTCTGGCTTGACAGTCCCTTTACATATCACTGATTATTGCAAAGGGAGTGTAGTAAAGCAAGAGACACAGGTTGTCCTTACAGTGATTCTGATCAGCCTTGTTGTTAGTATTCCTGTAGTTCTTCTGATACAAACTGTAGCCAGAGCACTGGCACTTAACCTATTTATCAGTGAACCTAGACTCAGACTCTAAAGCTGGAAACTTTGCTTCTGTCCAGCACCCTAAATAACCCTTCTTTGGGGAAACTGCACCTCTGGCAGCAAAAGCAAGACATGCTGGCAAAGAGAAGATACAGGAAGGAAATCCTGGGGGATACACAGTGCTGGAGATCCAACAGAGGTTACAGGCAGCAGGCAGTGTCACACATGCAGCCCAATTATCCTGTTTGTGGTAAACTGTGAAACTGTCACATGAGCACAATAAGCATAAAGATGGGTTTTAGTAGGGGCAGCACCAGGTAAACAAGAGCACATGGAGGCAGACTTGCTAATGCTGAGGGAAAAGGGGTCCATGCGCTGGGACGCCTTAATTGTACATACAGGCTGTCCTTGATGAGTTGCCCTGGATCAGATTATTGATCAGTTGCTCTTCAATCCCACCTCCAGCCATGGCCCACACATTAGCTTCAGAGCAAGCAGAGAGCAATGATACATAGCTCCTTGAGCAATAGGAAATGCAGCAGCAGGGCTCCTTCCTCATCCCAGGGAACCTGGTTTAAACCCTGGAGAACGAATGAGTCATTTTGTACTGATCACATCTCCTCTATCACAGTCACAACTGAGGTATAAATTATTCTTTCTACCCGCCAAAGTGCATCAATAGGAAGCTAAAGACCATCAGGGAAATACTTAAGACACTCACTGCACATGGAGCCACCAGATAGCAGTAGTTTTACATCTGTAATCCAGCTACCAGCAAGGCCCAGAGACAGCAAATTTATTCCAGGTAAACACCCATGGACAGCACATGCCTTATGTCACTCCACCCTCCCTGAAAACCCTTTCCCTTTCCCGTCCTTCTAAGCAGGACATATCACCGTGCAGGGACGCACCACTGCACAGCATTTATGGATCAGAGAGTGCCTGGGATGACGTAAAGATGAAGTTAGCCAGGTTGCTCAGGTAGGTGTTTGCTTCCTGCAAAACATGGCCTCTACACAACTCTCTCCTTGGCCTCGGTCCTGTGAGACAGCACCATGGAGCCACTTGCTGGTGTCTGGCCGCTGCTGTGCTCAGTGCTGTAAAATTCCACACTAGTAAGTGGAAAAATAGAGCTGTGAGTCCTGAAGGCACAGTAATTTCCATCTACATACTCATTGTCTGCACATCCCCTGCTGTGCAACGGTATATGATAAGCTCTATGTCAAATACGGACATCTGTACCTTTAGCCTATTGTCCAGACAGCTCATAGGCTTAAAAGTTATTCTAGACCTGTATATCCAGCTGCTCTTAATGTGTTCCAAAGAGCTCAGGGACAACTCGGTTAACTTTACAGACCTTTTATCCGTTGAAAAAAATCTGTGTAGTCTAGGCTAGTACAAGAGTAAACAACAAGAACATCAGCAATGATGAAAAGATAGTACAAACCATGAGCAGGAGAACAGAAGAAAGCGGAGGAACACTTCCAGCTCCAGTGAAGACACAAAGAGCCAAGGCAGAGCCCTGGCGTCTCAGCAGCATGGCTGACCTACGCGTCTGAGTCAATCTCATTGATAACAAGCCAAGCAAACAAACTTATTCCAGGAAGACCAAACCTTCAGTTGCACAAACTCAATGCAATAAGGATTGGCTTCATCTGAGGACTGAGAGGAGGTGGGTGGGGGAACACTCAACATAAGACATTCCTTAATGATTAGGTTTGGGACTATAAGGGGGCCGAGTACAATGAGTTTCAGTAACTCTTTCGAATTTGGGGAATTCTTTTTTCACATATATAATTCGATCAGTCTAACAGGAAATAAGTAAGGGAAATGCCCAAGGGGAATTCAAGGACTTCACGGATTTGGAAGAAATTCAGAAATTAAATCAGAACACTGCTGAGCTGCTGGTCACAGGGAATTGGTGCAAATCTGACTGCCAAGAGTTACCACCCAACCGTTACTAAACTTAACAAGGGAATTTCTTTCCTCCTCTTTTCTTTTATGACAAGAAGGAAACAAAAAGTTATGAGACTTGTCAAATATAATCCCACCTTTCAAAGGCCATTGTGGTCCCAGAAGAGGGAGCCAGCATGCATACCTTTCACAAGTCTTATGTTAGATAGCTTTAGACCCAAAGACATTAAGGCCTGAAAGGTTCCTGGTGATCTCCTCTCCTGGCTGAATTACAGGCAGGCAAAACCACAAAGTCAAAGATGAATCTGTAAAGCCTTTCTTACTGTGATGGTGCCTTTTCTCTACCTTCACCACCAATTAGTGAGGGCTGCAGAAGCTGTGAAACTTGGATCTTTTGGGAGACTACTTGGGAACGACTGAAATATTCAGAAGCTTCAGTCAATGCAAGGATGATGAAGCTGACCTGAGACGACTTCTAAAGAAAACTCTCAGGGTAACTTTCAAGTCAACAAATCCCTTGTGCAGAGAGGTCATACATCCACTTCTCCCTTTCTATCACACATGGCCATGACTCAAACAGAAGAAGGGATCTCAGGACGCTGCTGTGCTCACAATGATATGAATGCAGCAGAGATGCAGCACTCCAGAGGCATGAATCACTCTGAAACACAGCCCACTCTCACAGAAAACTCATTCCACATCTGAGGGTGTACTCAGAGCTCAGGTTAAACATTCTGGGTTTCTGCATGTTTAATCCACCCAAATTAGAGCAAGTCATCACAGGAGATTCAGCGATACAGAGATAACTTAACGAATCTCTTGAAAAACCCCTGAGATCGTCTCTTTGGACCTTCATTTCCAGTACCAGCAAAACCACGTAGCAACTCTGCATGAGAAACATGTACTGGTCAAACACAGGAAGAAAAAATAGCAGTACTGTGATGAGAGCAGATTATCAGCTGCCCTTTAGCAGGACACCTGGGACAAGAACTGAAGCAAAAGATACTTACCCCAGCAGCAGGTCATCGGGTACTGCAACAAAAAGAAAATGAAGTGTGATTTTGCTGAACTTCGCCACCGTGAGAGACATCAACACCACAGGGAGGATAGTATCTCCCTAACGTACCCCTAGAGGCCACACAGGACTGCAGTGCTCTTAGCCATCCTCTCGAGCCACCAAGGAACAGCAAAATAATTTGCTATGGTAGTGCTAAGGCACTTACCAAGTACAGCAATTAAATATACATTCAGAACCACAGGGATTAATTTTAAAAAGAAATGCAGAAGCCCAAGTATACTTACTCTTACAATATCCTACCTTTGAAAGCATGCAACAAAAGGCAACATCTTACTCTGCCACTTTAAGAAGCTGGTTAAAAATATATATATTGGTTTCCCTGAAACTGTCTTGGCATGAGTTGAAAACTCTGGCATCAAAACTTTAAAAATGTTGTTCTTTTCCCAGTATAGCCTTGCAGGGCGCCACTAGTTTATAGCTTTTAATACAGCATGCAGAAACATAACATCTTCACTTATTAGAACTTCTTGTTAAGATGGAAAATTACACTTAAGACAATCAGTCTGCTTGTTGGAGCTAACAGCTTAGGCTCTGATCATCCAATCTGATCTTTCTGTTACCATTAATGGGACACAGTGTACCACATCTCTGTATTCTGCTGGAAGATCACGACTTTTGACTTTAAAATCCTTTGTTCCAACAATTCAAAATATTCTCTATGACTTACGCGGTTGGTTTGACTTTTCCAACCTTATTCTAATTTAATTCTCCAAAGTGATTGATCAGGTTTTTTCCGCAGTTATGTCCCAATGTACTATTTTCGTGCTTTAAGGAGAAGTATACCTTAAAAGGAATGTTGATTTTTTTTTTTTCCTAGCTTACAACAGGATTTATAAAGCTCTTTTTAAAAGTCACATGTAGGTTTTGGACCTGGCAGGAGCCATACTACAAGTATGCCAGAAAGCTGTCAATGTTGTCACTCTGACAGCTTAGACTTGAAGTCTCTGTCCATTTCTCACTCAAATGTAGTACTCAGACAGACTTCTCTGAATGTTTATTTGGTTGGTTTTAGAGCAGATAAAATATTCCCTAAATAGACGCCCTCCTTAGGAGGAACCATTCTGTGCTACTTAACACGTAAACACAAACACACGTTTATTCTTTCAGCACAGATAACAGAACTACATTAGTAACCCAGAGTGCAATGAAGGTAATTGTCCTTAACTAGCTGCTAGAATTGGCCAGGATTTAACCGTTGGCTTATGCTTGCTCCATTCAAGCAACGGGAAAGCTGCTCTTTGCCCTGGGATCACTAACACAACACCCTCTGCTGGTCAGTCATAAAACATGATCATTTTTATGAAGATTTCCCCTTCAACTCTAATTTTGAAATTAATGAGTCTACAAAACCAGCAGTACAGTAGGCACCACAAAAGGCCTAGCCAGAATTATGTAAATTACCATCCCTCAAGTGCAACCACTTACACTACAAGCTCTAAGCAAGCAGCATTGCCCTCAGCCCCAGTTCAAAACAAGTGTCCAACCTGGTCTCATTTTTGGAAGAAGGGGGCTGCTCCTCATTACCTGTGCTTCAAACCCCTTTGTGTCCAGACAAGGTGTATCAAGTACAGCAATTAAATATATGCTCAGAACCACAGGGATTAATTTTAAAAAATAAATGTGGAAGCCCAAATAGACTTACTTTTATAATATCCTACTTTTAAAAACATGCAAGAAAAGGCACGCAGCTGCAACATCTTACTCTGCCACTCCTGAAAGCAAAAGCCACCCCTCATGCAACAGAGTCTGCAGAAAATGCAAGGAGAGGCTGACAACCCTTGTTGCTACCTGAAGGTTTGACAGCGCCAGTGTTACTGGCCACAGCCTGCTAGGATGGTTCTGTTTTTCTCTACCTACCATGTGAGGTCTCCTGAAAAGCCTTTTTGATCTCTTTCAGAAGCTCTTCTGCTACTGCTGGCAAGGTAGTGTCCATCTCATTGGCACCGGCCTCATGACTGGAAGCAAGACAGAAGGGCTCAGGGGACAGTGGGAAATCATTAAGGCCACCACAGATGCCATAGACTGGGACAGTTTATCTGGGCAGTACTCTGTTTCAACCCTTCGATGAAGCCAAGGACAGGGCATCCCCAGCACCTTTTGAGCTGTGGTTTTTTTACACTTTCTGGGAACAAGGGGTTTCTCAAAAGCACGCGGGTGTCTCTTGGATACCCCCACGTGTAAACACATCCCGTGGAAGGACGGGGGGGGGGGCGATACAGCCGGCAACAGGAAGAGGCTCTGGCCGGGAGCGTCCCGGCGCTGGGCCAGGGCAGTTCCCGGCAGAGGAGG